AATATCTCTGGCTTTATATATCTGTCTTTCTACATATCTCCAGCTGTGAATGTCCAGATTTATGCAACAAGGGCAACAAATGCAAAGCCTTGGGATCGCTCAGGCAGGCATGGAGTTTGCCCCCAGGAAGCTCCGTTGGACAGTTCAGAAATGAGCTATCTGACGCGTGTGAGGCACAGCTGTCTCCTTCTGAAACCCTGTAAAATATCCTTTGCAGTGCAGCCGTCTTCTCAGTCTTAGCTTTGGCCATTGCCGTAGCATCTTTTCAAGTGAACATCAAAGCATGATTTATAGGATAGGTGGAGTGGGAATCGGGGGACTCTGGCCAGGGTGTTCAGCCTTGTGCTGGGCGGTGGAGTCCTTGTTCTGAAGACTGAGCAGTGTCAAGGCAAGTTGCTAGTCTTGGCTCTGGCACTGACTTGCTGTGGGACCTTGGGCAAGGCATTTCATCCGAGTGCTCCCTTGACTGCAAAAAGCGGGTAGCGAAAGTTCGCACTGCCCTGAACTGCTTAACTGACTCAACTCTTATTAAGAATTAAGACATACTCTTAATGAAAGCCTTGGCGCTCTGACTGTTCTGCTGTGGACTTGTTTTACCAGGGCTTGGCTCTTGAAGGGACGGAGAGGAGTACTAGGCAAGCACTACAGCAACCCTCCAAGGGCCAAGCCCTGCACTAAAACAGCAGCAAAATGGTTAAGAGAAACGATGCGACGCTGATAAAATGCCAAAAATTCCTCATTCTTCCTTTTGGGGAAGAGGGAAGGGGGTGTCTGGAAAATGTCGACAATAAAAATTGCATTTATACGGTATATAATGCAGCCAGCTACTGTGGGCAGAGTTACCGTACAGACAGCCAGAGGAGGAGGTTTAAGAGCGCAGACGCTGCTGTCCAGTACCTGCTCCGCCTTGTGAAACGCAGAACAACTGAACTGCAGCAGCATGCGAGGGCACGAAGGCAACGCATAGGGTTGGGCCCTTTCATTTCTATTGCAACGCTTGTTTAAAACAGCTCCTCCACCTCCGTACGCCCGCCTAGCTTCATGGACTTCAAGGGACCAGCCTCTGTTTCCACCAGCTGAAGATTTGGCCCATTACATCCCACTCCATTTACCTTGCTGGCTTTTCCCCCTCAGAGAGTGACACGACTAGTTTCCCCGCTGACTGGGGGAAGCTTGGGGCGTGGGCAGCTGTGGGAAGGAGTTGGGGTTTTGAAAAGACTGGTTGGGAAAAAAGCCTCACGCTCCCATGTCGAGATGAATGAGCCCCCAGGGAGAATGGCAGGATGAAATCAGAGTACAGGGGAAAAGAGCAGATAAAGAGCCTAAACCTCATGCCAGGAAGACAGGAAGGAGATAAGGAGAAGACGGAGAAGGGCTTTTTCGCTAGTAATAAAGGCACCGACACATTTATTTTTGTAACATGAGCAAAATGAATGCGTGTGAGACTATACAGGCAACTGAGCAGCCCAGTTCTGTCTTCCCTAAAGGGTTATGAGTGCAGCTCAATCCTACTGCGATCCTTCAGCCCTGCCCTGCGCCCCAACACCTCAACTTGGCCCATTTCTGCAGCAAACCTTTGTCTTCCAGTACTGTGATCCCCCAGGCAGTGCCCTCCAGCCTGCTCTGCGCCTCCAGCCACGACACCGACACCACCAACTTTCCACGCCAATCCAGAGGCCAGTTGTAGGCATCAGAGCCAACACTGTGTCGGGGACAAGGGGGGCTTGACCTCTGAGATGCACGCAAACAGGAGCTAGACTCAGCTCCCCCTGGTCCCTGCGTGCAGTCCCTCGTGCACCGCACGCACGGTCCAAATGCACCAACGAGGTGCCCGAACTCCTGTGTTCGAGTCGCATGTGACAGGCAGAAGTTGTTTTTGCACCTACAGCCACCAGGACCGATGCTTGCATTAGGCTGTAAGTTACTGAGCATGGTAATGGATCTGTAACGCCTGTTTATGGATCCCATGCTAATCTGCTGGCAAACACATCGTGCACCCTCAACATGTGCCGAGATGAGAATATTAAAAAAGGAAAAACAAAAAACAAAAAAACAAAAAACAAACAAAAAACAACAACAAGCTGCCCCCTGTAAATTATGATACATATGAACTAGAGACAGCCAAGAAAAAAAATTCAAGTGGCAACTTACAGAGCTCAGCTCTTTCTCACTCTCTTCCTGCCCCTATTTGCAATCAAAGCTCATGCTTTGTTGTGACATTTTTTATTAACACTTGCATTTCTCATTTTAAATTCTGTTGACGCATTACAATTAGTTTAAAAGAAGTATCATTTTTATTAATTGCATTTCAGATCATTCTCAATTCAATGCATAAATACCAGCCGCGGCTGCACATTGTGAAGGCAGATGAAAACAATGCCTTCGGGTCGAAGAACACAGCCTTCTGCACACACGTGTTTCCTGAAACATCCTTTATATCAGTGACCTCCTATCAGAATCATAAGGTATGGCTTTTTTGTAACAAAATCTGCTTTATTTTGGTTGTTGCTTTTGAAGTTTGCAGTCTTCCTAACCCAGACCAAAATGGACTGTGATTTTTTTTTTACTGGCACAGGTATGTAACCATCAGTGTGGGTACTGCACTTCAAAGCATAGCATATTTATTTTAAATGTTGCTATTGTGCAGGAAAATGAACTCTTCCAGCTGAGTAAGTGCCCCTCCAAGCACAGTGCCTGTTAGGCCAGAGGCAGAGGATGTAGCTCAGGAGAAATAAGGAAAAAAAAAAAATGTATTGGGTAAAAATACTTGGCAGCCTCAGCTAATACAGAGACTAATGAATTGGAGCACTCATAAACTTTAAGCCGTCATTCAAAATAGCAAGCAGATCTAATAATGACGAGTAAAGCTTGCTCATAAATCTGCAGTGAAAAGTAATTATGGTATATGTATTCAGTGAGACATACAAGGAATGTGACCCCAAAAAAGGGTAGTTAAGAGCTTTTCCTTGTGGTTAAACCAAGGAGGAAGGAGGGGTTTTGTGTTTGTGTTTTGTTTTTTGAGGGGAATATAAAATACACGGGACTCAGCGGTGTCTTTGGATGTATGTCAGGGGTTGTCATAGATCACGCAACATTCAACTTGCTATTTGTTCTTGAGCAGGTGGGGAGTAGCCAAATTTGGTAGGGTTTATCTGAAAGGGCATGTGTATCATGGGCGATGTGGACAGTATCAATGGAGGGGAGAATGTAAAGGGAGAGCTGGAGGTAGAAAAAGGAAAGAGGAACTTGACCCATAAAGTAATGGATGTTCTTTTCCTCTTTGTGGCTTTTTTTTTTAATGTATTTAATCCTTAGAGGAACTCTTGGTGTAAGCTGAAGCTGTCCAGAGGTTGACCCCATTTTGAGGCTAGGGTCCCAGACCTCCACGAATCCTCCGGCAGTCTCACATTCATTAGCAAGTTGGTTCAAACAGGTCCGTTTGCCTACAGCACTGGGTGCTTGTGGTGGAGCAGTGGTGGGCCAGGGATGTAATATGTAGCATGAAGCTCCCGCCTCTCCCAACCACATACCACACCCACAAAAGGAAAGGGGCCATGGACTTGGGGACATCTTATAATTGTCAGCATTTCCAAGCAAGCTGGACAGATGGTACCATCGCAGCTTAGGTGCCACTGTCCCGTAACTCCCAGCAATTGTCTCTGACATCTGCCGTGCCGTGTACCTGAACATGCTGTGTGGAGACCCTTGAACAAAAGGCCAGGCGTTGTAGCTGGAGATTGCTTTGGTGAAAGGTAAAAGCTACACAGCATGTTCCCAGACCAACTCCTCTTCTACGCATTGCAAATGTAGACATCCTGGTCCCGTCTGGTCTGTCTGATGGGCCTCCTCACACAAGTAGGTTCAGTTCTGCTTTGACATTTGAATGGCAGAAGCCTGTGCAAGTTATGCACTTAGGGAGCCAGGTAGAAGTGTAGGGAAAACACAGATCTGTGTTCAAAATGAAACGGGCCAAACACTTATGTGAGTCCTCCTTGCAAAGTTGTAGTTATTAAGTGTCAGGTGACTAACATGGTTAACCAAGAAGGGACGGAAGAGCATATTTATTAGCTGCCTGTAATTCTTACATGTCAATAGGACCTTTCATCCCGAAAGATCCCAGAGTGTTTCCTAAACTTTGTATTTCCAAAGTCATTGATGTGCAGCCGCCTCAGAGGTGGAGGCCGGTAGGGAAGTGGTGTGCAGCAGGGAGGCTGAGGGTAGATCCAGGAGGACAAAAACCCTTGGTCTTATGACGCGGGACGAAGGATCTTTTGGGTCAGCTTTTCGATAGGACTCAGGGGCACTCTGCAGGTGTCGGGAGAGCAGCAGCCGTGGCTGAGGCCAAGTCCTGTAGAAAACACGGCCATTTTAGACTTGAGGTTTCCTGGAAATCTGTCCATTCAGCAGCAAACGGCTTTGTTAACGTCTCCTCCAAAGCATCCCTACAAAAAAAAAAAAAGAAGAATGGCACTCAATTTAACCTAAATGGATAAAGGGCTTTTGGCTATTGCCTGGATTTTGACTCGGTGCTGCCTGGGGCTGGAGATTGCAGACCTGCCGTACAGCTCCCGGGGGAACCAGCCTCAGCTAGAGGCCTCGCAGCAAGGGCTTGCAGCCTTGCACCCACCCAGCAGCCCTGAGCTTGGTGAGCTTTCCAGTATACATCCATTCTTTCAGACAGAAATACTCAAAGCCCCCACTCATAGTTGAAAGGGTGCAGTCTCCTGGATTTCAGCAGAAAGCCAAATGCTTCTGTGGAAGGAATATTCAGGTAGGGAGAGAGGCACTTCCTAAGAGAAACAACTGTTTAACTCAAGCTCTTGTTTATTATGAAGCCCCCCAAAAATGACGGTATAACATGGGTAAAATTCCCCCTGCATGAAGACTTATGTCCTGGCATATTGCTCCCATATTTCTTTTCTGGGTTGGATGAAACCATATGAGCAACTCATAACGTACTATCAAGGACCAAAATCTGGTTGTACTGAGGTCAATGGCAAAACTACCATCAACCTTAAAGGAGTCAGGATTTCACTTCAGAGCAAAAATTTTATAGTGAAGGGCAGGATTTTCACCCCAAAAGCAGAAATAGTTGAGTTCTGACATCTCTCTGCCCTCAAGCAAACTGCAAATGACTTACTTTAAAAAAAGGAGAGAAGAGGTGGAATGCCGTGGAAAAAAAAATGTTGCATTTCTCTGGCAAGAAAGGGCTCATTAAAGCTATGTTGTGACTGAACTAGAACCAAGCCCAAATGTAGGCTACAGAGTTACTAAATAAAGACATGAAATTAAAACTTGCCTGGCTGCACGTTGGTTTGTGGGTGGGGGGGTTGGGCAAAACCCCTAAGCTCCTTGCGGTTCATCAGATGATTGTTAGGCTACCACAGAATCCACTGTGGAATCAAAGGAGAAAAAATACCAGCTCCATCTGAAACAGAGCCAGGAGCATCAGTCCCAGGCTGTGTTTACACTCTGCCTAGAGTAGATCTCGACATCCCTGTTAAAAGCAGCCCTCCCCCCCACCATGCTAGTTAAATTCACGTGTCTCCAGTCACGTACATCACCTGATCACATATATTAGTATGACAGGAGCTTTCTCATTTGTTTGTTTGTTTGTTTGTTTGAGTAAAGGATATATTTATATCCAAAAGGATAGTGCAGGTGCTATTTATAACAACATTCTTGTAAGTCCTTGGAAAGAGAAATCCCCAGAGGCCAAAAATGCTGGATGGTGGAAGTACCTACCAGCAAGCCCAGGCCAGGAAGCAGCAGGACTGAAGCTGCGAGCTGGCCACCCATATTCTGCCTCTGCCCATGTCACAGAGGTAGGCCTAAGAGTCCAGGGACACAGGACATATGTACACGCCACGTTTTTTGCCCTTTTATGCACTGCAACTACTCTGCAAGAGTCTATGTCTTGCCTTCTGTCTGGTATTTCTTAAACCTTTATATATATACCCTTGCTGCCAAAGGGCCTTAGCAGCTTAAGTGTGTAGGGGCGTGCGGTGTGCCCATTTGGAAAGGATCCGAGGGACATTCTCAGGGACAAGTCCCTGGGGTAGTGTTTTAGTCCCAAATGATCTGGTGTGAGAGCAGCTCATAATCTACTACCAAGTGAGCAGGGGCCCAAGAAGGAGGAGAAGCAGATTTGTGGACACTCTGTTTGAAGAACAGCAGTGGTTCATTCCTGGGGCGTAGGGAAGGAAGGGGGCTGCTGGAAGGGAAGATGGGAAAGACAGAAGAGGCTACAGAAGCTGAGTGCCGGTGGGAGCAGCCATCAAGAAGAAGCTTCAGAGAGTCCAAAGGAGGGCCACACGCATGATTAGAGGCCTCTGGAGACCAGGTCGTACGGGGAGACACTGAAAGACTTAGGACTGTTCAGCCTGGAGAAGAGAAGACTCAGAGAGGACTTGGTGGCAGCCTAGAAGTATATCAAGGGCTTGGGGGAGCATCTACAACCAAGGCCCCCCAGGGGAGGACAAGAAATAATCTGACTGAAGATCGCTTCAGGCTAGACATAAAGAAACACTTCTTTACAAGTTGCGTGCCGAGGGTTTGGAACAGGCTGCCTCCCAGAGGCGGTGCAGTCACCCACCCTGGCAATCTTCAAGAAATCTCTTGATGCCCACCTTGCTGGGGTCATCTGCCCCCAGCCGTCTTTCCTGCCCAAGTGCAGGGGGGCTGGACCTGATGATGTGTAAGGTCTTTTCCAGCCCCTAACATCTATGAAACGATAAGAACAGCAGTAGCCTTTCAAGAGCTGGTGCTTCCAATTTAAGGGCAACATGGAGAATCCACCAAAATGGCTCCTCCTGGCCAAAACGTTAGAGATGTCTGCTGGATTTGACAAGTTTAACAATAGGCAGGGCCCTGCCCCACTGGAAGGCAAACACTTAAAGCAAGCACAAAAGCAGACACCACTTGAGAAAAGACCAGCGTTGGAAGGAGAGACACAAGAACTTACTGTTAAAAGAAGAACATGTCACTTGGAAAGCCAAGTATGTGAGATTCAGGGTAAATAACAGGAAGAAATAAAGGCTGCACTAAAAAGCAAAAATTGAGAAAAGCTTAAGGCAGAGGTGGGGAGAGGAAAGAAGTGCAGGGATTTATGTGGAGATGGAACTGCATGGAGATTTGTTGAAGAGACTGAATTTTTTATGAGCGAGAAACAGCAGTAAATAGCCAGAGAATCCAAAGCTGTAGATGATGGGAAGCAGTGAGGAGAAAAACTGAAGGAGTATGGAAACAATAGGTAAGCACATCCAACCCAGACCAGCCAACACCCACCCGCGTGTGAGGCGAGTGCCCTAGAGCCAGCCGGATGTCACTAACACTTGCCAGTCACTTCTTTGCTTATCATTGAATCTACATTTCTTACCTATTTTTTCTTTTCTTTGCATTGTGTCACATGCAAAAAACAAGATGAGGTTGAGGAGGCAGTGTTTAACCCTGAAAAAGCACGCGAGCGGCACCACTGCAGTCAGTCAAAGGCAGGTGTCCAAGTGCATAGCAATGCTTTACAAACTGGCTTTGAGACAGATTTTCTTCTACCTCTTCGCCTGTCTTCAGAAAACCATGAAAGCGCCCGGAGAAGGATGCCAAGACACACATGCAGTTTGAAGTCCAGGGGAGACAAGCAGCTTTAAACAGAACAGGGTAGTTTTTTAATGTTCCCTCACACCCCATGTCTAGCGCCCTCCTTTGCTGGGTAGGAACCTAAGGGTGAGCCTGCTCAGACTATGAGTAACGTTTTCAAGAGTGCCGAAGCCAGCCCCGTTTTTTTCCCCACAAGTAACCTGGCTGCAGTTGTGCCCTCAGTGAGTCTGGAGTAAATCCACGCACATGAATAATGTCCCTTTCCATATATGCCTAAGGAACATCCGAGAGTCTGGCTCAGTCTCTACACCAAAAATGCTGGCAGGCTCGCTAATAGCTAAGATTTTTGTGAATCCAGGCTATGTGCTTTCCTTTGTTGCCATGGACATGTGAAGTATGACTTAGTGAACTGAAAAAGCCATCAGCTACTTGCTAAGGGCTGTGGTTTTTAGGGTTGTTGTGTGGTGTTGTGCATCGGTGAAGAACCCCACCAGCTCAATGGCCCCAATCCAGCTGCCCCTTCAGAAGAGTAAGCAGCAAAAAGTCTGCTAAAAGCAGCCTAAGTGGCATTTAGGGCCAGTTACGTGGCTGTTAGGTCCTATGCCTACTTAGCACTGCTCTGAGAAGCAAGAGAGAAGGGTTCAAATAGAAAATGTGAATAAACACCTTGGGCTTGACATTCACTTCCTGGGCAAATGCACCAAGCATGAGACCACTGACCTGTCCTGCTTCTGTTTGCTCCTCTCCATTTTTTTCCAAGACTTGCACGGGATTACAGCCTTCCTGGAGAGAACAAGAACGTGAGAGAGGTATAAGGGCAGAGCAGATCACACAGAAGGACAAGACGGATACAAGGCTCTAATGTCTGCAACCAGCCCTAAATGCCACTCAGCCACCTTACTGGCTTTGGGCCAGTGAGCATTTGCAGCACTCCTGCCTGAGACATCGGACGTACCTGGATTGGGGTGTTTCCCCGCTGTCTCCCCAGCCCCGCACACAGTGCTCTTAGACTATGCTGGATGGGCTCAGAAAGGAGTGAAGATTTACAGGGCTTTCTTTGTATGAGGTTAGGTGGGGAAAATCACATGGAGGTTCAGCAGCAGCAATTGTGTTATCGAGTCCCATAACTATCAGTAAGACTGGGACCCTTGAAGTAGGAGATAGGTCTGGTGATTCAACAGGCGTTGTAACACTGGACATCACCGGAGGATATGGTAGAATTTTAGTCCTATGAAGTCCCCTGGCCTAGATGAAATGATTTAGCAATATGTTAACCACCAGATATAGATCGGCATAGAGAAGACATTTCGAACTGAAGTTCTCCAGCCTGAAAAGACCATGAACCCATTTTCTCCTTTCCAGGATCCGTTTTCAGTTAGTTCTGAAGAGAAGTAGAACTGAGTTAGTTAGTTCCTAATCAAAAACTATTTGGCATTTTCAGTAGGGTAGCAGTAATAATCATGACCAGTTGCCCAACTTATGATGGTAACTACAGTCTTTCTCCATAAGCTACTCTTGCTGTAACTTTCTGCCTGGCTTAATGACGCCAAATTTTCCAGTGACCCCCCATCTGTGTTCTCACTCCCTTCCCATTTGTCTATAAAAGTCTTTTGTTAAAAGATTACTAAATGAGCACTACAGACAAACAACTAAACTAACAACAAAAACTCTTCCATAGGACTCTGATGTCTGGGTGTGTGGGTATTATACACAGATTTACTAGTGTTTCAAGCAGGGTAAAAGTGGTACATACTTTAAAATTCAATTTTCCTCTACCCCACACAATTTTGTTCATCAGCGTAGCTACACTTTTTCAATTCTGCAGCCATGGGTCAGTTCTAGCAGTGCCCTTGGTTACAATTTCACTCAAATATTCAAAAATCTGAGGGTTTTTTTTCAGTGTTGTGCTACACACCAGCTCTGGGAAGCTACTGAGAGTCTACTGTTGGTTAACTGCTTCCCTCCCTACAACACAGTGGGTGCGTCTACACGTGCACATTTACTGCGCAGTCACTGAAATTACTGCGCGGTACAGGCATCTGTCTACACGTGCACACCTGTACCGTGTAGTAAATATCGTGACTTATGCTGACTTGAGTGTAAATTTGATACCTGCATCATGCAGGTATCAAATTTACACCCAATTAGTTTCTGTGCCATAATGCACGTGTAGACAGCAGTAACACTGTGTGCATGTGTGTGTGGACTGACTTGGGACTAACTTTAGTCTCAAGTCAGTCCACACACAGCATTAATGCGCTTTAACACCTGCATGTGCAGACACCAGCCCATTCCTGCTTACTGCTTGGTAACTTACTGCGCAGTAAATTTAAGCACGTATAGACACACCCAGTAGTACTGAATTTTGCATCTTCTCATGCAGGAGGAAAGGACTGTTAGCATGGTGCCTGGGTGGTAAGGGTGCAGGGGTGACATTTATTTACAATCTTGCAGGTCTCTATCATCAAGGTATAAGAAGGACTTTTCTTTATTGCGCAAGGACCACAGAAGATACATTTTCAGTCATGATGGTCCCGCATGCAAACAGTCCTAACCTTGGGAAGCTGGCTTTCAGCTCCTAACGGCATAGTTCACAATTAGCTCAACAACAGGCAAAGCCAAAACCTTAGCTTCAGAAGTTCCATCAAGCTGAGCGCAAGTGAACATAAAAGCTTTGGAGAAGTTCAGATCTAGATCTAAAGTTTGTATCTTGAGCCTCTCCCCCAGCTTTGAATTTACCAAGCCCCTCCTCTGCTATAACAGCTCTTAGTAGCTGAACTGCTGCTGGACTCGGGATGAAACCACGCATCTTATATGTAAAAGAAAAAAAAAAAAAGCATCTTTCTAGTGCTGCAAATCTAGTCTGGCCACTGAACATATGGTTCTGATACACTGTTAAATGACTTATGTTTTGCTTCATTCTTTTAAAGATAACCCAGCTGAAAATTGAAAACAACCCATTTGCCAAGGGATTCCGGGGAAGCGACGACAGCGATCTGCGTGTGGCACGGCTACAAAGGTGCGGAGAAAAAGAGCAATGACATGTCAGCCGATTAAAATACAGTAAACAGCTCGAGCATCTCTCCTGCCATTCACGCTCTAAGCGCTTTGATACAGTATGTGTGGATGTAGTGAGTGCAGACTGTGGTTATAGATACACATCACCACGTATGGCAGTTAGTGTGCAGTCAAAGCCATGCCATTTATCTCCTGCTTTAATACAGTAATACCTGGGTTTGAGAGAGGAAAAGTGGTTTTGTAGTTAGAGCAGGGGACTCCTGAATTCCAACCCTGACTTTGCTTAAATATGTACAACAAATCGATAGTAGTCGTCTTTTAGGGGCACTCAGACGCTGAACTACCTATTTCATTGGGCATTCAAGTGCTTACGTGCCATTTTTGTCTTTGAAAAATCTGTTCCTTATTTTCTTAGTGTCTCAGAACAATACTGACCTATTTCCACAAGGCTGGTGTGAGGATGAATCCTTTTTGTGTAAAGCACCTTGAAATCAGTGAATAAAAGATGCTGTGATTTAGCCAAGCAGGATAACATTGTTTTGCATGCACATACTGACTGCTGTCAAAGTGCTAAATAACTTTTCTTACCTTCTGCAGCAAAGAGTACCCTGTCATTTCCAAAAGCATCATGAGGCAGAGGCTGGTGTCCACTCATGGGCAGCTCTCAGCAAAGCCTGATGTGAACCCACTCCATGGGAATCACCAGACCCTTCAACATTATCAGTATGAGAACGGGGCTCACATGCAGTTTGCAGCTTCAGATACTCAAGATCTGTCTCTCAACACCTTCACAGCTCAGAGGGATTCAGGGCTTTTCTACCACTGCCTAAAAAGAAGAGGTAACTGGGCAGAAAAGAGCAAATAAACCTTCTTCCCTAAACCCCAAATCAAGTCTGATCTTCTGATCTCTTTTTTCTGGGCTTCCCAAAGTAGAGAGAACTGTGCCAGCGCTGCTGGAGTTTTTCACGTGACCCTTTGCATTCAGAAAACAGGGAGCATTCCTAGCTCTTGCACAAGCCGGGGAATTAAGGGAGCAGGGCCTTGTGCTTGGTCAGGTCCCTAGAGAGCAGGCTGTTCACACCTGGGGGGGCAGTAGGCAAGATGCAACTACACAGGTTTTCTTATTTGTGTTATTATTTTAGGGACTTCAGGTATTAAATTATCTGAGCTAAAAATAAAGGCCACAAGCCCAGACACCCGTGCTTTAAATCTGCATGAAGTGGCTGTGTCTGTGCCTTTATGCACTTTCCATTTGCCTAGGTACCAGCGCCAGTTGTATGGAAAGGATCCTCTCAGCACAATTCATAGCAGCTTGCTCTGCACACATGGGTGCACCGAGATTAGCAGGTCAACTCATGGAGCAGCATCTGCCTCCTCATAAGTCTCATCAATAATATTGGTCCAGTTGCAAATACATGCCTACGTTAATTTGCATAGTTACTCAGAAAATTTGCTCAAAGAGGGCCGAGGCTCATGTCATTGCCACTGAGGTCAACGGGGGTTGCACACGAGCAGCACTTTTCAGGGTTGAGCCTTACTAATTATCTTAATGTCTATGCATTTTTATTATTACAGTAGCTATTTATAGACATCCTTCTTTCCCTGCTGACCAGGCTTGAAATAGGCACTACTCCTTTCAGCCTGATATCAGATGAGATCTGATCATGCCAGGCTTTACACTGAATGGAAGTTGTGCAGAAAAATATCCCAGCACTGGCATGTCTCATTAGCTGCTCATTCATCTCAGCTGTGAAACTGCTCTGTTCACAGGGAAATGAAAAAGCCAAAGGCAAAGGTGCAGAACTAAAACGAACTCTTTAATCCTACTGATCAATGGGGTTACAAGATCTTCCACATTAAAACTGGGTCCTCCAGAGAAAACGGTGGTGAACGCAGCCAGAGGAAAGGGGCCTATTGCCCTAGCACATTCAGAAACATTTACCAGTTGGAGGCCCCCCACCAGCTTTATCTTGAAATATTTCTGCAGCCTTTGACGTGAATATCTGGTAAATGTGTAGTGATTTTTGTTAAGACAGGAAGAAAGGTCACGATAAGACATTTTAAAAGACTTCTTGAGTATGTCAAGAGGAACACTACAAACGTGTCATGGTCCTCAGTTATCTGGATAAGTGAAAAGTAATTGTGGGATGTAAAAGCAGTAGGCGAAGTCACTTTTTAAAAAACTGATAAAAGTAGCCAAAAATGCTTTAGGGCTGATTGGTTTAGACTAATATTAGCACTGTAATTCCTTTTTGATATTAAATATTTCTTTCCAAAATCTCTTTTAAGGAGATTAATTGGATCAGCCTGAAAAACAGTGCAAGAAACTTGGGAAACTAATTATAGGGCTTTAAAGGCAATCCACAGAAATATCAAGGGGCCTGACAGGGGTTTTTGGTTTTGTTTTTTTTTGGGGGGTGGGGGTGGGGGGGTTAATGCTTTTTTTTCACTGGAAGCTTTTCCCTAAATGCTTATTTCTGTGTTTATAGAAACTGCTCGGCATCTCGACCTGCCCTGCAAGCGCTCCTATCTGGAAGCCACCTCCTCCGTCGGAGAAGACCATTATTTCCGTTCACCACCTCCGTATGACCAGCAGATGTTAAGCCCTTCCTATTGCAGTGAGGTGACACCTAGGGAAGCGTGCATGTACTCTAGTTCTGGGGCTGAAATCGCAGGCGTCTCCACAGTCGATGACTTGCCGCCCCCGCCTCCCCCTTTGAGCTGCAATATGTGGACTTCGGTTGCACCTTACACCAGCTACAGCGTTCAGACAATGGAAACTGTGCCTTACCAGCCTTTCCCTGCGCATTTTACGGCCACCACCATGATGCCACGGCTCCCCTCCATCACAAGTCAAGGCTCGCAACCACCAGGTAACAGCCACTTCAGCGTCTACAATCAACTCTCACAGTCTCAGGTTCGGGAGCGAGTTCCTTCTTCATCTTTCCCGCGAGAAAGGGTGCACCCAGCTGTGTGCGAGAGGAAACCCCCGTCTCCACACCTAAACGCAGCAAATGAATTTCTGTACTCACAAAGCTTTTCGCTGTCGAGAGAATCTTCATTACAGTATCATTCAGGAATGGGAACTGTGGAAAACTGGACTGATGGATGATTCTGGTGTCTGAGTAATGAAACAGTTAGCTTTCCTGCTCCAGGACAATGTTAATTCGGTGTTAATACCTGTGGGTAACTTGCACTTCAGTGAAACCTACACAAATGCGCATTTCCAAGGATTGTGCGTGTATGAAGCGCTCGTATCTTTGCACACGCAAACAGTTCAGTGGAAAGAACAATTCTTTTCAAAATAACCCTTGGCTCAATGGCCTGGATTCATCAATCTCTTACTAACTTCTAAATAAAGTCAGTCCTCCCACCTCCCTTAGCCAAGAACCAGCTCGTTGACGAAGGAAGCGAAATGTGCCAATCATTTTCCTTTCATTAAAATACTATATGCTCATAGTAAGTCTTGGCTACTTGTGAAAAGTATGACCTTCACTTTCACTGTATGTTGTGTGTTTATCAAGTCACAGAATAATAAGGCTTAGAGATGGAAATGGTCTATTAGCTCACAATGTCTGCTGTAACAGCAGCAATGTCTGCTTTTAACTCTTTTTATCCCCAGAGCTGAAGTACTTCCCCTTCTCTTATGCTAAAGTATTATCCCCACTTTTCCAGCTGGGGCAACAAAGTGAAGTGAGAAACTCATGTCTTTTGATTCTCTGGGTAAAAGCAGATGTGGCATTTGAGTCAGTCCTGACTGTTCCGAGTCAAACCTGGGAGCAGCATAGTCCTTTAGACACTCAGCGTGTCCCTGGAACAAATGCCAGTTAGCCTCGATGGAAAAAAGTGCTCTCACATACATTTCACAGGTACTAGAAGTGGGGCAAAGGGGCTGTACCTCTGCAGGCTCCCAGGAGAAAAGGCTCTGTCCCAAGGGAAATGCAATGTCTGTGCTTATTCCCCCAGCTCCTGGCTGTATCAGCTCAAGTTTTCTGATCCTGTTTAAAAAATGTAAATGAAATGAAAAAATGTAACAATTTTTTTTTAACAGAGAAAAATTCTTAAGCCACTCTTGACATTGGGTGACAGACAAATATCAGTGGAACAGGTAAAGCCTGAAATCACTACATATAATTACTGTGGGAAGGATACTGCTGGGATTTTCTGTGGAACAAAACTCCCATTGTCTTCAGCAGAGTAGTACAAACAGGGGCAGAGATTGCATCTTCCTATAAGTTTGTACAGCACATAGTCTGTGGACACCGGTCCAATAATAATGGGAATTTGGTTCCATTAAGGAACAAAGAATTTAGTCCATTGCCTTGATTAGTATATTTTTCCTGCTTCTCAAGGAATGAACAAATGGGTGGAGGACATAAAAAAAAGAGATGAGAATACTTCAGTGTTTTGATGAATCCATCCCAATGAATAGAGGCTGGTGACTGAAAGTTGTTTAAAATTAAGACAACCCCGAGGCCACTTAAGTGGAGGGTATTTTCACCCAGGACCATCATATATACCCATTCAACAGACTGTGTGTGTGGTTGGTGTGGATTTTATAATCATATTTGGGAAATCACTACAATTCTTGCATGCTAAATAGCTATTTATACATATCTCTCTCTCTCTATATATATATAAATATATATATCACAAATGCAGGCCACATGTCCAATTCAGCTTTGCTTTTTACAAATGAAATACTTAATAAAAACAAATGTTGCAAAGGGTTTTTTTTTTTTTTTTTTTTTT